GTCCTTGTATGAGAGCCTTCCAATCATTCCGTTTATGTCGACCTAAACGTTTAAGTGTAGTATTACTAATTTTAAAAAATCTATAAACTAATAGTTACCTCCACAGAGTGTCTCTTTACAGCCAATGACGGTAAACCCTTGGGTGCTTCCGTGATTGGAGTAATCACTTGGTTCATAGACATACTCACTGCTATGCTGAACTCATTCGAGCATTGATTTAGCGTTCGTTTCTCGTCTTGCATGCAGCACCATCCCACAGACATATTCTTGAAAACAATTCCTTTTGATATCAGACAGGATAGATGATATCTAATACCTGTATCTCCAAATTGGCCGAAATCAGTCCATCAGCATCATTTAAATTCAAAACAGCATTCGTAGTTGCAACTATAGCACAGCTATTTGGTATACTAGGATTTTCCAGCAGATACAGATCGGAGTCCCTGCAAAGTAGATATGAAGGGAAATACAAACAATAATTCATAAATCCAACCTCAGTGTGATTTTCAAGGCCAACGTTTGTTGTTGTTCCAGCGGTACGCTGCCCATGCGTGCTACAACTCCACCATTTGCGTTGTAGCGTACTTGATCGTCTCTGTCTTAATGATACCAAACTGGGTTGAGATCTTTTTATTCCGCTAAGTTGCGGAAAAAGTAAAAACATTAATCATGAAGGAAAAGTCCGTACTTGAAATTACGAAACAAGTTCTTCAAAAACTGAGATAATTCATGATGGGAGAGGTTTATGAAAGATTTAAAGGTAAAAAAAAAAGAATTACATATCAGTAGAGGCCATTACGGTAGGCAGTATCTCCAAATTGGCTCATTACTTCCTAATTAGCCACTTTGTAGTTATTGAGTCCACTTATAAAACAGAAGATCAACATGAGCTTGTCAGAGATTAGTAAAAAGAGGGAAAACAAGAAGATAAGAAAATTTACTAGTGGAAGTTAACGTTCGAGTAGATAGAAAGGAGAAGTGAGGAAATTTGTTTCCGTAATCTCAACAACCATAAAAGAATTTGCGTTTTTGCTTCTTCACTTACATTTCGGCACGAAATCCGTACTGAGCAGTACAAAACTCTTTGCATCATTCAACCAGTCATATAGCAGGAGCACGCGTGAATGCATCAGCACCAAAGTCACAACTGGTACTTCATCTTTTCGCATCATAATATGAGCTTCAGACATCAGCGGGAACCTGACTTATTTATGATTTCTTCGGAAGTACATTAAACTTCGCAACATTAAAATGACCCACTTCTTGTCAACATATTCACGAGGTTGCAATATTGTGCTGAACAAATTCTTCGTTCCACTACCAACTTGCACTTAAATAACAGCTCTTTCAGTTCCATGTTTGATCTCGAACTATAAAATGAAGCAAACCTCTTCTGGTATCCACAAGGGTGGTGCTTTCGCAGACAAGGTCCAACTCACTCTGGCTATCAATGAAAACATCAAAGCTAACACGGGCACTTTCCAGCTGCATCATAGCGAATGGTGTATAAGGTTTGCCAAACAAAGTGCTAGGATTTGACCCATATCCAGGGAGAGGAACCTAAAACTGTTAACGTTTTGGTAAAACATTTAAAATTTATTGAAAAAAAATTATTTAAAAAATATTAAGGATTATTTGAAGCGTTTAACAATTATCATAAAAAAGAATTAAAAATTATTAGAAAAATAGCAACTTTTCATTTGAGGAACGTATTCTTCACCAATTCCCAATAACAAAAAAAA